GACACCTACAAATATATATGTAGGTCTGACAGAGGATATGTCTACATATGTGCTGCAAATATATCCATAGATATCGTAGAGCATACAGGGGCCAAATTAATGAAAACTTCTTAGCCATAACCAAACATCATGAGGGAATGAGTTATTGAGTCTGAGGGCACAAGACCATAGTCTAGGGAAACATCAAGGTCATTTAGCACAGCACAGTCCACAATGACAATGGTCTACTTTGCTGAGTAGCAGCAATGGGCTCAAGCGGAAGTAACGATTGTGAGGTTGGTGCAGGCCTGGGCAGTGTTTCTTTTGGTTGTGCATTGGTTCGCTATGAGTTGGTACAGACTTGATGGCACATAACAATATAGTTGGTTAATTTCACTGCTTTACAGAATTTTATTGATTAAGTGTATCGTGGTTTATCCATGCTACTATTCATGAGCATTTGCGTTGTGTTTAGTTTTGGATAACACATACATACAATTTATATAGCTTCTTATGTCTGTGTTCTGGTGCACAAAAGTGCGCATTTCTGTGGTTTATTCCCAGAGTAGAATTGCTAGATAATGGGGCATTGCGATATTTCACTTTACTAAATACTGCCAAGCAGTATTTGTAATGATGTGTTTGTAATGATGAGCACTCCCATCAGCAGTGCAGGAGAGTTCCTGTTGCTTGCCATGTGACTTTGTAAAAGATGTCTCACTGTGGTTTTAATTCACATTACCTCTTTACTATGGTTGTGGTTGTTGTTAAGTGCCATCAAGGCAGTTCTGACTCATAATGACCCTGTACAGGGTTTCTGAGGAGCACTACTAAGTTTGAACTGTTAATCTTGAGGTTCAAACTGACCCTTTGGTATAGTGCTTATCGTTACAGGGCCACATTGGGTGGATTATGAGCTGGATTGCTCACTTGCAGTGAAAGCAGGAGAAAGATGAGGCTTTCTGCTTCCATAAAGACTCACAGCCTCAGAAATCCTATGCAAGGTTGCTATGAGTCAGAAATGATTCGATGGCACACAACCACCACCACCCATTTACTAAAGAAATGGAGTATTAAAATCAAAATGGAAAAGATATAAAAGAAGAACAGGACAAAAATCACAGGTTCTTACACATTTCCGTCCATTTACCAGAAAAGTCTTATTGGGGCTCCTGTCCTTATTTGTGTGTACATGGCTTTTGGGTAGACTACTTTCCATTAAAATGGAGCTGGAACTACATGAGCTCTGTATGTTCACCCTTTGATATCCTAGAAAGGCGTAGATCTTGGTGTAATGCACAAATGGGGAGACATACATAGCTTTTATATAGAAGTCGTTGACTGTTGGTAGAAAAGAGATACAGGAGGAATAGATAAATAAATAAAAATTGCACCAGGGGACAGGAACATGGAGAAGAATGATGGTTACTAAGGGTTAATCCCAGGAAGAAAATAAATAGATACAGGATTCTAGCCTTCCTGCAATCAAAGTCCTCACCGTGGACTTTCCTAGACTGGATTTTCCTTGGTAATTAAGATAAAAATAGAGGTACATATTTAGTAGCTTAGAATTTACTGATTGAGAATTGGGTCTGGGGCTAGGTAGATGTGGAATTGAAGGGAGGCTGTAAACTTAAGGTAGACGTGGAATTGAAGGGAGGCTGTAAACTTAAGGAAAACAAAGAAAAGAACAAAATATGGATCTGGAAAAGCAAAAGTTATCTTCAGAACAATGACTGTATGCTCACTCATCTCTCCAAACAAGGGATGGTTCCTTACCTTATATTCGTCCAGCCATACGTGCGCCAGTCTTAGACTGTTGTATGCCTGGGATCTTAAAATTCTAATGTTATCTTCGATGTGTTGCTTAGTGATATGTCCTACTCGAGAGCAAGGGATTATAAAGAGTTGTCCTCCACACATCCAGATCTAGAGACATAAGAAAAACAAAACACATAGTTATGCAATATACACTGCTGAATTTTTTTTTAACCAACAGTAAGAGCAAAAATGTATTAAGTTCATTTCATTCTCACAACAAGCCTATAATGTAGGCATTGCGATTATCTCCACTTTAGAGATGAGGAAAATGTTGCATAGACTGGTTAAGAAAACTTGCTCAATGTCTCATAGCTGTCAAAGCAAAAGGCTCAAACTCCGGAAATCTGACTTTGGTTGGTTAATTCTGAAACTGGAGTGATTCTGCCTGTCTCATAAATGACCATTTCTGATGTTGATGTTTATGAAGAATGGCAAGATGTTGCTCTTAAAATATCCTGGGAGGACCATTTTCAAAAGCCACAGCCTTTGGTATGGGTTGTTTCTTAATGTAAAGAAAACAAAATTCCTCACCACGGGACCAATCAGTAACATCAAGATAAAAGGAGAAAAGATTGGAGTTGTTAAAGACTTCACTTCATCAACCATCAACACTCATGGAAGCAGCAGTCAAGAAATCAAACAACGTATTGCATTAGGCAAATCTGCTGTACCAAGAGCTTTTTAAAGTGTTCAAGAGTGAAGATGTCAGTCTGAGGACTAAGGCGCATGATCCAAGTCTTGGTATGTTCATATGCTTGGGAAAGTTGGATAGTGAATAAGGAAGACCGTAGAATTGAGGCATTTAAGTTATGGTGTTGGAGGAGAATATTAAAAGTACCATGCACTGACAAAACAAACCAATATATGTTTGAAGAAGTGCAGCCAGAAAGCTCCTTGGAGGCCAGGGTGACCTGACTTCTTTCACTAAGCTTCTGTCATCGAGTTGATTTTGACTCAGAGTAACCCTATAGAACATAGTATAACTTTTCCTTTTGGTTTCTAAGCCCAAATCTTTATAGGAGCAGACAACCTCATCTTTCTCCTGTGGATTGGCTGGTGGGTTTGAGCCCCAACCTTGTGGCTAGCAGCCCAGTGCTTATCCCATAGCACCACCACAACGCCTCTACTAAGAGTCAAGGGGAGTTTCTGAGCTGTGGAAACAGCACATTCAGATGTGAACCAAAGTGTTGGAGTTTGAAACCAACCAAAGGCAGCTCGGAAGAAAGGCCTGGTGATCTACTTCTGAAAAATCAGCCATTGAAAACCCTCTGGAGCACAGGTTTCCTCTAACACACAGGGGTTGTCATAAGTCAGAATCAACTTGATAGCAACTGGTGCTGGTATTACAAAGAAATTTCAATATGTCTGTGAAACATGGAATTGAAACATAATAGAATTTTCCCAAGAACTGTTTGAAGCCTCCTTGTATTTTCAAGGTTTATTCATGTTATAGTATTTATCTCTGGAATTTACACTGAGAAGACATCTTCACCCAAAACCAAACTCAAATCACTGCTGTTGAGTCAAATTCCAACTCATAGTGACCCCAGAGGACAAAATAAAACTGTCCCATAGGTCTTGCAAGACTCTAAATCTTGTGGAAGTAGACTGCCCCATCTGTCTTCAACAGAGTGGGTACTTGTTTGAACTGCTGACTTTTTCATCAGTAGCAGAATACTTAACTACTGTGTCTCCAGGGCTCCTAGAAGTCAACTTGTTGTTGTTAAGTGCCAGTTCTAATTCATAGCGACCCTGTATAGGGTTTCTGAGGAGTGGCTGGTGGGTTTGAACCACCAACTTTACAGTTAGCAGTCTAGGGCTTACCCTACAGCACCACACCAGAACTCCAGAAGCACCTTCTAGTCTGAGTCCCTTCATGTTAGATCAACTTCGACCTAAAATAGCACATGAATTTGGTGGTATTCAAGTGCTCTAACCTTTAGTCCTGTGTTATTTTCCCTATATCAAGATAATTGTTGTAAGGTTCTATCAAGTGGGTTCTGATTCATAGTGACCTGATGCACAAAAGAACGAAACACTACCCATTTCTGCACCATCCTCACAATCATTGTTAAGCTTGAACCCACTGCTGCTGCTACTGGGCCAGTCCATCTCATTTGAGGTCTTCCTTTTTTTCTCTGAGCCTCCAGTTTACCAAGCATGATGTCCTTCTCCAGGAACTGGTCCTTCCTGATAATGTGTCCAAAGTATAAGAGACAAAGTCTTATCATCCTGGCTTCTAAGGAGCATTCTGGCTGTACTTCTTCCGACACAGATTTATTTGTTCTTCTAGTATTCCATGGTACTTTTAATATTCTTCTCCAATACCATAACTCAAATGCATCAAGAGCTAAGATGTCAGTTTAAGCACTAAGGTGTGTCTGACCTAAACCATGATATTTTTACTAGCGTCATATGCATGTGAAAGCTGGACAGTGAATAAGGAAGACGAAGATAATTAGTATAATAAAAAAGAGATTCTATAAAAGGATTCAAAGTATTATATTACTTTGATATATATTAGCTATAACAAACAAATATAAGAAAATGTAGTATTTTATTGAACGCTTTCAAGCTTTGCAGAGAACACTGTAAGTACCTTATTGCACTTGATGGTACAGAATGGTACTGGATGCTGATACAGGAAATTGTGGCAGAATTACCATATTGTTGGTATTGTTAAGTGCCATAGGGTCAGTTCTGACTCACAGCAACCCTGTGTAGGGTTTCCAAGGAGCAGTTGGTGGGTTTGAACAGCCAACCTTGTGGTTTGCAGGCCAGTGCTGATCCTACAGCACCATACCAGGAGTCCACTTACCAAATCGGATTACACAATGTAAAGTTAGATTTCACTCTCTGCGTACAAAAGTCATAATTTAAAAATAAATTCTTAGTTACCCTTAGTGAAAGTTCCAAATTTTCTCCTCCCCAAAGATTCATGCCCTTGTCATACTGTCCGATTTCGTTAAAATAATGCCTCTGTATAGCAAAAATTCCTCCAGGCATTGCAGGTGACCTAAAAAGGAAATAAAAATACAAAACAGTCTGAAGACATGGTCCTTATGGATTTTCCCTCAAAATTATATTGACTACTAGAAAAACTAGAAAACAACCATATTAATTGATCAAATTTGCTGTCTGTTGGCAGGAGGGAACATTAATATATAGAATATAAGTTTTCCATAGAAGTAATGATTAAATTGAACAGTGAAATTTAGAGTTCTTCATTTCTCATGGCTATACGGGGGTGTAATATTTAATTTTATGTGAACCAAATGTCACAAAGCCCCTGGTTTTGTCCATGAATCTCAATAATACCAAACACTTTAAGCAGTTTGAACATAATTGTATACCCATCCTTTTTTTTTTTTTTTTAAAGTATTGAAAGACTGATGCTAGAGATACATTTGCTAACCAAAAGGCAAAGATCACAGCTCATGTAGAGGCAAGGATAGAAGTAGGGAGACCCCTTAGAGGTTATTGCAGTGGTCCGAGAGACAGATGATGGAATCTTGAATAAGGATAGCAGCAATGAGCACAGTGAGTTGAGGCCAAATTCTTGGTATATTTTGAAGATGGAACCATCAGATTTACTCATGGATGGGACATGGGGTGTGAGGAAGAGGTGAGCCAGAACTGTGATAAGGAGTACTTTTCAGACTTTACAAGCAAGGCACTTGACAAGACTGTGGCTTCTGACTGAATTGTAGACCTGGCTCCATTTTTGTCAGTTTGACGATTTCTCAGTAGTTACTTCTGCTTCGCAATTCTCAATAAGTTTGCTTACTGCATCCAGATTGCTGTAAAGGTCCTTTGTGTATGTGTACATGTTCCAGGAAACACTGGGCTGCACTGTGTTTTTAATCTTCAGGCATCCTTAGAGCTAAAATCCAACCAATAAGCATTACTTGTATGACAGCCAATCATATGCGTACACAAAGATGCTGATACTTTGTGATTTTGTGCTATAAAGAATTCCTCTGTCTTCCTGTACTTTGGAACACATAGTTTAACTTCGAGACTGTGTGCTGTTTCCCAGTCGAGGTTGATTTTATTCTTTCAACAAAACTGCTTGTTTTAATTTGAACAGAGACATTTACTGGTGTCAGAATTGTTAGAAGTTGTCCTGTCTTCAGCAGCCCTGAGGAGCCAAGCAGCCAGAGTTACAGCACCAGCACAAATGAAAAATCCTGTGTTATTTTCACTAGAACAAAATAATTACTATAATAAAAAGATTTAGTAAAAAGATTCAATGTATTAATTTGATATATCACATATTAGAAATAACATAAGAATATATCATGTTTTACTAAATGTTTTTGAGTTATGCAAAGAACACTTGTTGGTGTTAGGTGTCATCAAGTCTGTAGTGACCGTATACACAACAGACAAAACACTGCCTAGTCCTGGGCCAACCTCACAATCCTTGCTATATCTGAACCCATTGATGATGCCACTGTGCTAATCTATCTTTCTGGGGGTCTTCCTCTTTTTCTCTGACCCTCCATGTTACCAAACATGATATCCTTCTCCAGTGTCTGGTTCCTCCTGAGAATATATTTGAAGTATGAGAGACAAAGTCCAGGCATTCTCACTTCCAAGGAATACTGTACGTTCCTGATTATACTCAATACCAGAACGGTGTCTTCTGTCTCCATATACTCTTTTTTTTTTGGTAAAAGAATTGATTTTACTTGGAACCATAATCAATGCTCATGGAAATAACAGTCAAGAAATTAAATCACATACTGCATTTGGTGAATCTGCTACAAAACTCCTCCTCAAAGTGTTTAATAGCAAATATGTCACTTTGAGGACAAAGGTGTATCAGAACCAATCCATGGTATTTTCAGTTACCTCATATGCACATGAAAGATTGACCGTGGATATGGAAGGCCATGGAAGAATTGATACATTTGAGTTATGGTGTTGGGGATGAATATTAAAAGTTCCATGGACTTCTAGAAGAACAAACAAATCTGTGTTGGAAGAAGTACAGTCAGAATGTTCCTTAGAAGAGAGGATGATGATACATACTTGGACATATTATCAGGAGGGACAAGTCCCTGAACAAGGGCATGCTGCTTGGTAAAGTGGAGGGTCAGCAAAAGAGAAGAAGAACCCCAATAAGACGGATTGATAAAGTGGTGCAGGATTGGACAATGCTTCATTCTGTTGTGACTGAGGTTGCTATGAGTCACAGCCAACTGGAGGGCACCTGACAATAACAACAACAAAGTACATGGACCACGTACAATCTAAATATTGTATGAACTATCTCACTTAATCCCAACAAACCTGTGAGGTAGCCAATATATTGTCCATCATTTGTATATTAGGAAAGTAAATCTTGTCAAGATTAAAGAATTATGTCTCCATATACTCTTTTTTTTTTTCATGCTGTATTGTAATTTATGGGCTAGTTTACATGGGAGGATATCTCTATATACTCTTACATTTGAACTCTGCCTTCTTGCTTAGAGCTCTTGCATGAACCCTTTGAGCTCATCTCTCTCCATGGGCTTGTAGGGGTCACGAAGGTAGTTGTTGATGTTAAGTGCCATTGAGTCAGTTCTAACCCTTAACAACCCTCTAGAGGGTTTCCAAGGAGTGACTGGTGAGCTTGAACCACCAACTTTGCAGTTCAAACTGACTTTGCAGTCTAGTGCATTAACCCACAGCGCCACACCAGGACTCCATTAAGGTAGTAAGTGCACTCAAATTTGAACTCTGCCTTCTTGCTTAGAGTTCTTCAAGACTTATTGCAAGATGTGGCTTCATTTTGTTTTTGCAGGAATTAGTATTTGCTGGTGCAGTAGGTTAAAGCATTGGGCTGCTAACCCAGATGGCACATACAGTTGATGATACAACAATTTCAGCCTACCAGCTCTTCTGTGGGAGAAAGACAAGGCAATTTGCTTACAGCCTTGAAACCCTTTTGGAGAAGTTCTGCTCTGCTTATATGGTTGCTATGAATTGGAACTGACTTGATGGCATGGGTTTGAATTTTTTGTTTGAGTGGCAATAGTCAAGGCTCTGAGTTCATGCAAATTACTCTTCTAGAAGTTTTCAAGTTTGTGGAATCTGGGACTCTATTTTAATTGTTGTTGTTAAGTGCACTTGAATTGGTTCCAACTCATAGAAACCCTGTATAGGGTTTCAGAGGAGCAACTTGTGAGTTTGAACCACCAACCTTGTGGTTCAAACTGACCTTGCAGTCAAGTGCTTATCCTACAGCACCACACCAGGACTCCTTGGACTGTAAAAGCCATATGAAGTCAAGGGTGTAGGTTAACCAGTTCAAGTCACTAGGGCAGTTGCCACACACACAGTGGTTAAAATCTCCCATAGAATAAAAAGCTGGTACTTGACATGGACTAGGGTATTAGGCTGCCCATCACCCACAGATTCTCGTGTAACAAAGGTACATGTTGGTTTAAGCAATCCACTGTCCAAAGCCTCCTGGCACTCCTTTATCAGATTTTTCTATGTCTGGGAGCCCTAAACTCGAATCTTCTCTGTAAATGGTAAATGCCATAATTAGAGGACAGTGGAAAATATGTGGCTACTCTGGGATTCTTTTAAATAATCTGACTTAAGTTTTCTGCACAGCAAATGAGAACAGAAAGGCTCTTGAATTAGGTAGCCACAATGGTATATCTATTTTAATTGGTATTTTGAAGCTTCTACAAGACATTAAAAAGTAAAGATAAACTCTCTGCAGAATATTTCCAAATTAACTAAGTAAAACAAGGAGCTACAATGTCAAAGGCCTTCTCCTACTCCATGTGCTCCTTTAAAATCTGTCCCAGAATGAACACTGAGGGTACTTTCCAATTAGAGAAACTAATGTGTTTAAAACAAGAGACTAGGTCATTAGCTGGCAGAAAGAATTAGAATTACAGGTTTTGTACGGTTGTTAGGAAGGAATCCCGGGGGATCAACCACCTGCTAATAACTTTATTTGACTCAGTAAAATTTCAATCTAGTTCTTTACATTCTTGATTAATGAGCCTGCATTTTCCCCTCACACCTGGCTGCTAGTTTGGGGTTCATATTTTTAAAGCATGGAATCCTGGTGTGGCATTGTGGAATAAAGCACTGGACTGCAAGGTCGGTTTGAACCACAGGGTTGGTGGTTCAAATTCACTAGCCACTCCATGGAAACCCTATATATGGGGTCTCTGAATTGGAACCAACTCAACAGTGCTTAACAATAACAACAACATAAACTGAATATGCTAGAAATAATTTAGAATTTCAATGATAACTTTAAGAAAATGAGTTTCCACCTGAGTTTCCATTTTGTCTTCTTTCCTCTGAGAAACTTTTGTTTAGTGCTCAGGTGTTTTCAAAATATATGATTTCTCTCCATATTAAACTCTGGTAAACTGATAAGTTTATCTAGGAATTGTTTTTGTTTGCTTGTTTTTTTCTGTTAAATTGAGGCAGCCTCACCCAAGAATTTTGCATACACTTAAGAAACTGGGTTCATCATATGTTTGTCTTATGTTATGTTAAATATAAGCCCAGGTTTTGAGCTGGCATAACAAAAAGGTAAGTTTCTGTGGTTTCTCTATTTTGTTTTATGTCTGAATTCCTGTCTTGCTACAGGAAGTTGTGATTAGCAGTTGTTACACTTCCTGCCCCCACCCTCCTCTTAAGACAGTCTTTTAAGTCTGTTTCTTGTACTGATCTTATGAGTTGGGCATTCAGTAGCTACACTGAGAAAAACTTGATCTTTTTAAAAGGTACAGTAAAAAGAATGAGTTGCTTATTTTGATTAATGTCACAAGGTTTTTAAAAAAGGGGACATTTTACTTCTCTAAAGGATCCTATAAAGCATGCTGAAGACAGGGCTATAAAAATATAATAGTTTCCTAACTCCTGATGGTATTATTAAATGTCATTTCTTTTTAAAATGTGCTCCAATGGTATTAGTACTTATATATATGGAAGAGTCTGAATATTCCTAGTTATTAATGAAAATGATTTTTTTCTGACAATGGTTGTTAT